GCAAAGAATGACCATAGAAGATGTGTCTAGTAGACTTGGTATTAGCAAATCTAGGATACATAGGTACTTGAAAAAGGTTTGCTTAGACGCCACTCTAGTAGCATAAAAACTTACCTCACCGAGGCTAACAAGAAGACTAGGTTGAAGTGGTGCATTGACATGATTGAGCAGGGTTTAGTTGATGATCCAAAGTTTAAGGATTTGTTTGACTTTGTGTTTATTGATGAGAAATGGTTCTACATCTCTCAAAAATCCAAGATAGATACTACTTGCTACCCGAGGAAGATGAACCACATCGTACTTGCAAGAACAAGAATTATATCCCTAGGCTCATGTTTTTGTGTGTTTGTGCTCGGCCAAGATTTAGAAATAGAGAATGTGTGTTTGATGGCAAAATAGGTTGTTTTCCACTAGTCAATTTTGAACAAGCTATTAGACGAAGTGGAAACCGTCTTCGTGGTGCACAAGTTATCAAGCCCATAACTTCAATAACAAGAGATGTGATTAGAGAGTTCATGATAAACAAAGTGCTGCCCGCTATCCGAGCCAAGTGGCCAAGAGAAGATGTGCACAAGCCAATTTTCATACAACAAGATAATGCACCTTCTCATCTAAAAGTGGATGATCCTATTTTTTGTGAGCATGCTAAGCAATATGGGTTTGACATTCGGCTTATTTGTCAACCACCCAATTCACCGGATTTCAACATTCTAGACTTGGGTTTTTTTCGTGCTATTCAAGCTATTCAATACAAGAAGAATGCAAAAACAATGCAAGATTTAATTCCAGCCGTGCAGCAGGTAAATTGATCATCCATTCGATTGTTTAAATTGATCTTGGACAAGTAATGAACTCACTAATTCATTTCTTGAACACATGTTTTGTAGGCATTTATGGAGTACTCTCCACAGAAGGCAAATATGATCTTTGTGACACTACAAACTGTTTTGAAGGAAGCAATGAAGATAAAGGGTTGCAACAAAATCAAGATTCCTCACATGAATAAACAAAGACTAGAGAGGGAAGATAGGCTGCCATTGCAAGTCCCTTGTGAAGCTTCTTTGCTAGCCGAAGCACTAGCTGCTCTCCCTGCATGAAACCATTAGAAGAAGCAAGTTAGCTTTTGCACCAAATTAGATAATGCATGTACTGTATGTTAGCTTTTGCACCTTACTGATCCTGTATGCACTCGTCGTTAGCTTGTGACTCCAGTTGCTTCAGCTTTTGTTCTTCCAGTTTCTTCATATTGTATTGTTCGTCCAGCTTCTTCATTACGTGCTCAGGAAGAAGAATTGTGTCACCTCTCATTTGAAGTTCGTGCACATCAGGAATATACACCTCACAATCAAATTTTTCCATCTTATCGCACACCCTTGCTGCGAGATTGTAGTCCTCATGTAAAAGACCACAACGGGCACACCTGCGAGCTTCGCGACGAGCTTCGTAGCATGCTTCGCCGAAGATGCCGCCGGCATGGAACGTGTCGCGCAATGAGGATGAAGGCACCACCACCTCGTCCAAATGGTCGGAGTCCGGCAGTACCTCGATGGAGTCCGGTAGCACCATCGCCGAGTCCGCACCTCCTCGACGGAGTCCGGCACCACGTCGACGAAGTCGAGCGCGATCGACGGACTCCATGGCCTAACAGAGTCCGTGCCCTCCGAGTTCAACAAGGCCGGCGGACTCCATGGCGCGGGCGAGGGAGGCGCGTCTTGAGGCGGCGCCGCGGTCGCGGAGGTAGGCGAGGGCGCGGAGGTAGGCGCGGCGTCTTTGCGGAGGTAGGCGAGGGCGCGTCGATGTTCTTGGTTGAACCGTACAAAAGTCGCGCGCGGGCGCGCGGTAAAACCCTAAACACCGTGTGTCTGCGAGGGGCGGCGGCATGTCGTTGCGTTTGAGCACTGCGCGCACAATGGCGAGGAGAAGAACGACGCGCGTCGAGGTGTTGCGGAGGGACTGCAGCGCCTTTACTCCACGCAAGAGCCGAGGACGGCGGCGACCAAGAGAACGAGGCGTCAGTCCATCGAGCGATTAATGCGTAGTCGAAGGAACCGTTGGCGAGCAGCTCGCCAGGGATAAACCCGTCCTCGCGAGGCCTCGGGAGCCCAGGACGTCAGGTTTCACGAAAATGCTTCGGTTGCCCAGGACGTCAGGTTTTTTGGGATGGAGGGAGTACTATATAAATAGGCTAAAAGAAGGCTGCAAAGATCTTTACAGCTGGCCTGCGGGCTGTATTATTATTTATTAGCCTTGCTCTCATGTCAGTGACTGTTCAATAATAGACCAACAGATGATGTCCCATTAATTTTCCTCATAACAATGAGAACTGCATTTATTGTATTATTACTAAGGGAACAATGGTACTACCCACGAATTGGCCAAGCAGTTTAATCACAAGACATTTGCCTTATTATGCCATTGCCAGTACATACGTGAGTGTCCGAGTCTGTAATTGTGTTAATAAGAAAATGTTCGTTATCTTCATTTTTTCTTGATTCGGTAATGCTACTGTACGAGCATCCCGACGCCGACGCCGTTAAGAATATCAGATGCATGCCTGATGCTCTCTCAATATCGGTCTCTCTCCTTCCTATCCACTCATTCTTATCGACGTTTTTCACCACACATCAGCCTCTTTCTAGTTTCCACTGGTATTCACCAAAACAGACACTCGTTGATCTCTCCCCTCCCCTCCTCTCTCTCTCTGGTGCTCCCATGGCACAGTAGCCCTTCAAGACGGCAGCACATGAGCCCCGCGTGGCGTAGCATGGATCTTCTGATGGGTCCCTCACTCTTCCTCGTTCGCGAACTCCTTCATGGTGGGAGCGTCCTCTGGTGGTGGTGGTGCTCGAGTGCCGCCGCTCGTCGTTGGCTCTGACCCGACGGCTGGAATCGATCGGCTAAGGCTTCCCCTCCTCTATGTTTCAAATGTATATTTCAGGTGTTTTGCATATGTTTCACACACATGTTGTAAGCGTATTTCTCAAATGTTTTATCTATTTTGAAATGTATGTTGCATTCAAGTGTTTTATCTTACAAGTGCAGACCACCGACGTTGGTGTCCATGAGGGGGGGCAAGGCCAAGCTGTGGCCACCGATGCGTGGAGGAGGCGCAGGCCGCCGCCGGTGGTGTGTGGAGGAGGCACAGGCCATGCGGTGCTATTGTGGGAGGCGGGGGCGAGTCTTCCGGACGGCTTAGAAGATATGGGCGCCGCGCCGGTGTGGGAAGAGGCGGGGCAAGTCATCCGAGCAACGTGGACAGTAGATCTGAAGCGGGTAGTTTGGATGCAAGCGTAGGAAACGGAACTGATGCGGATGGCGCGCGAATCCGAGCGGACGGAGCCGAGCAGCAGTGGGCGTCCGAACAGTCGGACGTCGGCGTGGGTGCTGCGCATTGTGATTGGGTTCGACACGGAAAGCAAAACAGGCTGGGCGGATGGCTCCACATGTCAGCACAAGCCCGCTGATTGCAAATTGGAGCAGAGCCGCTCCACATTTGTGAGCTAGCCGTTTTGGACTTTGCGAAGATCGCAACTTTCGGGTCTGTATCCGACGTCAAGCATCATCCGACGGCTAAGAAAAACTTCCCTCCTTTTCACGCTGGGTCCCCCACGCTGAGCCGCTGCATCCGCCGCCCGCCGCCCTCACGCACCTCGCGCCCACATCGCCAAGTCCTACACTGCGCGACGCTGCAGCCCTCCAGCACCGCGCGCTGCTTGTTCCAGCCCTCCTGCGCCGCGCCACCAGTCCACCACCGCCATCCAGTGCCTCGCCGCCATTCGCACCTCCGTTGACCAGGAACAGGAGCGCGTCCTGTGTGGGTGCGTGCCTGCAGAGTGAGCACGACAGGGGCGACACGGTGGAGCTTCGGGGACCTGAGGAAGGCGTGGAAGGGAAGCAGCACAAATGCACAACGGAGGCGACCTCACCGACCCGAGGCGACGGTGGAGAGGGGCACGTGTTCAAACCAGCTGCTCCGTGGTCGTCCAGGCCTCCTCCCTGCTGTGTCCCGTTGACGGCGTGCGGAGCCAGAGGTCTGCGGCCAGCGCTGCGAGCGTGCGCGGCCGGAGTGGCGAGCTCACGCCTCGTGGCCAACGCTGTGTGCGTGCACGGCCAGCGCGTGGGGCGGCGTGTCGAGTGGCCGGTCGGCGTGGGCACGGGGCAGGCGAGCGGGCGGCTATCGCGTGCACGGCATGCGGAGAGCGCGCGAGGCCGTCGCGGAGGTCTGCACGACGAGCGGCGGCCGTCGCGGACATGGGATGCGGCGAGCGCGCGCCGCCATCGCGGAGGGCGACGCGGCGAACGTGCGGGGCCGTCATGGAGGAGAGAGAGGAGCCTGGCGCCGCGGTTGCCGGAGATGGCGCACAAACCTCGTACGCCTCGGTCGTCATCCCCTCGCGCAAGAGCATGCCCACGACAACGCTCTTACTTCTCTTAGTGCTCAAGAAGCAAACGTGACGCCCTTTTGTCACCGACGACAATGAGCTATTGCGCGGTGCGGGAGGGCTGGCGGGGCGTGACGCTGAGGTCGGCGGCAGCGGCGCACGGCTCGCGGCCCGGGAGGGCTGGCGGCGGCTCGGCGTGAACGCGTGAAGGGAAGGATGGAGTATTTCCTTGAACCGTCGGATTGTGGCCGAACGTTGGATGTGGGCACGAAAGTCACGCCGTGACTTGCCAGAGCAACGTTACTGAATCTGAGTCCGTCCTGTTGTCCCCTCTCAGTCTCTCACCACTCACCAGAACCTTTTTTTTTTTTTTTTTTTTTGCTTCAACGAAGTAACGAACGCACGCTCCTAAAGTTTGTCCTGTGCACGCACTGCCATGGCCTCGGCCTGCTGGCCCTTTCTTCCTGTTCCTTTAATTTCCTCCCCTATATATACACAGTGATCTATTGAGTTTCTCTACGGCCGCACCACCATTTCAGCGTGACTCACTGCTCCACTTCCTCCTCCTCGCTCTCCATTGCGGCTGGAGCGAGCAGCCTCTTGGGCGAGTTTGCCACAATGATAAAGCTGAGGTGCTCCAAGAAGCTGTTCAGGAGGAGCTCCTCCAAGGGCAGCACCGCCGGCGGCAGCAGCAGCAGCAGCGACGGCGGGGATGTCGGCAGCGGTGGCCGTGGCCGTGGGGAGATTGAGTGGGAGGTGAGGCCCGGAGGGATGCTGGTGCAGAATAGGGAGGGGCGGTCGGACGTGGAGGTGATCACCGTCAGGGTCGCCACAGGCTTCTCCTGGCATGACGTCTCCATCGGGGCTACCTGCATTTTTGGTGAGTAGTAACCTGAACATTTTGTGTCTTCTCATTTGCTCGCTATTTTTCGGTAGAGCCCTCCTCGGCTGCTCTGTCTGAGTTTAGTTGTGTGCGTGTCCTAGAAAGTTGTTTTGACCATGCATGATTTTTTTTTGCTTTTGGGACTTAGTATCACTTAAATAAAGAGTTTATTAGTACACCATTAATAAAAAATGAATATTCCATAAAGCTCACCTGTAACAACTATGAAGGCTTTGGAACGGTTAGCATGCAAGTATCCTTATGATTCTGCATAGGTTGGGTACAACTACAATAAGCTGGTTGCAGAGTACGAGCTAAGTTGTTTAGTTCTAGATGCAAGTATCCAACACACAATGACAAAAAAATGTTCAGCTGCAATTTGGCCCCTGATGGATATTAGTAATACTGAAACTGAAATTATTAAGAATCAACTTTGATAAGGACTAAAACAGGCCGCCAATGCCAGTTGACTCACCTGTCGCCCAGTTTACACAGCCAGATCCTGCCATCCAGGCACTTGCATTTCTTCTGCCCATTGGCATGTGTCCACTACCGAAGTCACCTATACATCAGTACTAAAACGTGTGGTGAGTGTGTCGTCAGTCGTCACCCAAGTCACCCTCAAGCCTCAACAACTCCATAAAGCCACCTAGTACTTGGCTTGCCAGCACATAACCATTCAGACAAGGCACCTGAGTGGAAGGAACCTTCATAATCTGTGCACAATGGCATTGCATGCGTTTGCTATTTTTTAAAACCAACTGTTTCATTCACTCTTCATCAGAAAAAACAAACAAACCAAATACGAGAAATTGGCCCGGAGATCTAACGTGTGTCCGTGCGAAACGATTGCAGAGGAGCTGAAGGCGGTGCTGTCCATGGTGACGGGGCTTGAGCCACGGGAGCAGAGGCTGCTGTTCAGGGGCAAGGAGAGGGAGGACGGCGACCACCTCCAGGGGCGAAGCTACGTGGGTTAACCCGAGTGCACCGGCATCAGGGCAAAATCAAAATACTCCCTCCGGTTCTCTAAAATAAGTCGTTTTGAGGTTGTCTTAAGTCAAACATTTTAAACTTTGACTATAAATAACTTTTTTTGGGTTGAGTTTGAAAATATGAAAGTGATATAAGTAGATTTATCTCGAATTGTAGTTTCATAAAAGTATATATTGACTATATTTTATAAATATTTTATAGCAAAAAATTGCAGTCAAAGTCGTTTCTTAAAGACCGTATCGATGTCCAAAACGACCTGCTTTAGAGAACCGGAGGGAATACAAGTTAACATGAAGTAAATTTTACCTCTTGTGCATGGGCCAAACATATGCACTACTGTGAGTCCATGTTTGATGCGTTCACAGGCCACAAGCAGGCCAATCTTGCCTTGCGGTCGGCCCAGCTAGGATGTCTAGGAAATAGACTAAATGCTGAACGCATGACGCATCGTTTCCTTCGCGTAGAAACTTTGACCGCGACTGTAGCTCTACGACGACTATGAAGCGGAGAGCTGGAGTGGGCGAGGCTGTCGCTTCGCCTGCCCAAAATTGCGACCATCGCGAGGGGAAAAAACGTCGCTCACGCCTCACGCCTCACGGATCACGGCCACCGGATTGCCGCGTCGGCAAGACTGCTAAAGCTCATCGCCAAGTCGCCGGAGCTCATGTCGAGTAAGCTTGTGCATCTTTGAATCTTTGATCAAATGAAATATTTGTTGTTTTCTCACTTAATTCCTTGGAATAACGTGCAATAGCAGGTAAGCTTATGGACAGATGGTTCAAAAGGAAAGCACCAGATGATGTTAGCAATCAGGGGCTAGTTAGCAATGCTAATACTTCTCATGAACCTCATCAACAAGAAACCAATGTTCGTGTTTCAGCTTCAGAGGAAATCAATTGGGAGGAGGAGATCCAATTTGATTCAGGCAAAAGGAAAGATATACGTGTCATCCTAATCTTCGAGATTGAGTAAGAAGAAAATATCTACTAAATGGGCCTTGTCAACCTCGCACTCTTGATTTTCCAGGGACTTGGATTGGAGCAAAATGCAGAAGGTTTAATCCAGAATGGTTCGATGAATTTAGAAATTGGCTTGAGTACAGCGAGTCCACTGATAAAGCATATTGCTTTACTTGTTTCTTGTTTAGAGACCCTACTAAGACGGAGCTGGTTACAAGTCATTTGCCATAGATGGTTGGAATTGTTGGAATAATAAAGATAGATTAAAGGAGCATGTTGGTGGAGTTGACAGCCCTCACAATGTAGCATTGAAAAATGTGAAGTTCTGTTGCAAAAAGAACAACACATTGATGTTGCTTCACGCAAACAGCTCGAGTCTTCTAAGAATGCATATTATGTTCGACTCAATGGTGCCATTGATACTGCTAGATTGCTACTAAAGTAAGGTTTGCCTTTTCGGGGTCATGATGAGTCAAAGACATCCTACAATAGAGGGAGCTATAGGGAGTTTTATCGGTGCTTAGTTGAGCATGATCCGGCTTTAGCCAAGGCATTAACAGTTGATGCTGCAAACAATAGTCTTTTGGTGTCTTCCGACATACAAAAAGACATCATTAAATGTTTTGCAGATGAGATTTTGCATTCCATACTTGAAGACATAGGGCAAGATATATTCTGCTTGCTAGTTGATGAGTTTAGAGATGTCTCTTGCAAGGAGCAAATGGTTGTGGTGCTGAGATATGTTGATAGGTGTGGAGTTGTGAAGGAGAGCTTTGTTGGGCTTGTTCATGTGAAGGATATAACTTCTGCAAACCTCAAGTCATCTATTGATTCTCTATTTGCTAGGTTCAAGCTGAGCATAAAGCAAGTGAGAGGTCAAGGATATGATGGTGCTAGCAATATGCGAGGTGAGTTCAATGGCTTAAAATCATTGGTCACGAGAGAAAATAGTAGTGCATATTATGTCCATTGCTTTGCTCATCAACTTCAACTAGTGGTTGTAGCTGTTGCTAGAAAGCATACAGGCATTGTAGAATTTTTTAGCAAGATTTCTACCTTGTTGAATGTGGTGGGTGGATCTTCAAACAGAAGGGACATGATTAGAGACATCAATCTCAAAGAAGTTAGTAAGGCCTTAGGTTGTGGGTTACTTGAAACCGGAACATGATTGAATCAAGAACAATGTCTTCAAAGACCTAGAGATACTCGTTGGAGTTCTCACTATAAATCTCTTAGAAGTCTAGTTAACTTGTTCCAAACACTTATCAAAGTGTTGGAATTTGTGGAAAAATGAGGACAAGGATGGAAAGGCAAGGGGCGTTCTTGTGGACTTCTAGTCTTTTGAATTTATCTTTTATTTGCATCTCATGTTGAACATTTTGACTATCACAAATGTCTTGTCGAATGCATTGCAATGGAAAGATCAAGATATTGTGAATGCTATTAATTGTGTGAGGTCTACTAGAAGCCATTTGGATAAGGTTAAAAGAGATGGATGTGAGCAAACACTTGGAGAAGTGTATGCATTTTGTGATGAACATGATATTTCCGAGCTAGAAATGGATGAGCCTTACATTGATCCAACTAGGCCAAGAAAAAAATCTAGAATTACCAACAAGCATCATTTTCAAGTTGATTGTTTTAATGAAGTCTTTGATTGGTTGCTACAAGAGCTTGATAGTCGCTTCAATGAGACTACCTCTCAATTCCTAGTATGTTCATTGCATTCAACCCAAGAGATTCATTGCATGATTTCAACGTGGATAGTTTGATAAGCCTAGCTAAGTTATACCCAAGTGACTTTGATTCCGTGCAATTGAGAGATCTAAATTCTGAACTTTTCCTTTATATTGGTGATGTGTGACAGGCTGATAGATTTCTTAACATAAAAACCATTGTTGAGCTTTCCAAAAAAAATGGTGGACACAAAGAAACATCTTACCTATCCTTTGGTTTATCGGCTATTGAAGCTAGTACTTGTATTGCCCGTCGCCACAGCTACAGTGAGAGAGGGTCTTTTCAGGCATGAAGATAGTGAAAACATCTTTGCGCAACTGTATGGGTGATCAGTACATGAGAAAATGAGAGATCGCAAATACTAGAGGTGATGCATTACTTTCATATTTTATCGTTTTTCAGTTCTGAATCCATCTTTTCTCGACATATTTAGTCATCTAACTAGTACTTCTGTCATAGGTAATTGACTCATCGAGGACTTCGGCTTAATATGTATTTTGTCATGCAGACCATGTAAATTTTAGGTGTTTATCTGAATTAACTATTAATATCTCGGATCCAGCATTTTGGTAAAAATTTATGCAATTCTACTGTTTATGTACCGTCATTGTACCGAGATAATCATTATGCTTATGAAGTGTGCACTTGAGTCCTTGATTCTCTAGCTTCGCCCCTGACCACCTCGACATGGTCGGGGTGAGGGACAGGGACAAGGTGCTCCTCCTCGAGGACCCTGCCCTCAAGGACACGAAGCTCCGGGCCATGCTAGCGGCCCAAACCTTTCATCAGGTGTAGCCCCCATCACGCCTTTCATCAAGGTGTAGGCCAGCCCGTGCATAGACTACGTGGCAGTGTTCGGGCCGGTGGTGTTGCTAACCCCTCCATGGACATTTTCTTAGTGCTTATAGAGCTAATCAATCGCGCCATCAGCTGGTCAGGCTTCTCTTAATAACAGATACTAATCAGCTGATTAGTTTTATTAATAGTGCTAAAAGCCTTATGCTGGTGGCTTAATCAAGTAGGAGTATGTATGGTGTGGTGTGATTTACTGCTCCTGATCACTGACCGACTGCCATGAACAAGTGCTATGTACCACTCTACTCCATGTGAGAGATTTGGACCATCCGAACCTATATCCAAGTCTATCGCGCTGTTTAGTTTGAGATGCTGGTTCATATCGTCCGTCATAAACTAAATTTGTGAGAGTTAAACAAGTCAAGTACTCAAGTGGACCCGACTGTGTAAAACTAGATGGCGATTATTCATCCGTGAAGCGATCCGCATCACCCATCATCCACTCGCTCACTT